ATCTCTGAGCAATCGGCAAAAAACATTCTATCGTTTTTTCCCTTTATTGTTGAAATTTTCTAAATATAAAGCAAACACTAGTAGCGATTTGTATGAATAATATTTGTATTATTCGCTGACAATAAATTTCCCTTCTCTATTTTCAAAACTTTGTAAAACCCTTTCTCCGCGAATCTTGGCTCGCGGGGCTAGCCGATATGCTCTCGAAGGAACCCGAAAACATTTTTTTGAACTTATTGGGCTTGAAAATTCACAAATGCATGAATGCTAAGAATAAGCCTCAGCGGTCATCATAGCGGCTAAGTGGAGGAGTTCTAGTTTTCCAATAATGTTACCTCAAAAGGTTAGTAATCCCTTGCATCTATTTTCTAAGAATTTTCTACTGTTATTTCCCATGCATCCCAAGGGTTTTAGTTAGAGTATTGTTATCGAATATGTTGATTTTCAATGAACATTTTGAACAATCCTGGCTACATAGATATTTTATGCCATTCCATAAAGCTTAACCGATATGTCCTGGTATGATTTGCTATTTGGAAAAGGAATCAAAATGTTCGGGATTCAATTAAGGAAAGTTATGGCTTCATTCATAAAAACAGGAAAATTTTCCAGGCAGGTAATATTTGCAGAACATTCGAACGATGGTGGATTAATGAACACTTGATAATCAGGGAAGATATGAAAGACTACATATACTCGTTCTGAATTTTAAATTTTAATAAATATTATTAAAATCGTATGAAGTTTTTAATGACTACTAAACTTATACGATTACATAGCACAAGCGGTGCGATGAATGAAGAAAAGAGTGAGAATGCAGCCGGTGGCAGGCATATTACAACACCCAAAGACAAATATTTATATCACGTTGATATGAAAACATGCCAGCATCTGTTCATTGGCGCGGCATTTAGTATTACAATCCGAATACTCTTCTCAAGGTCATCCTAATTGCGATTATACCGAAAAAGCAAGATGAAAAAGTGCTGAAATATATGACTTTCGCATTTTCAACTAAGAAATAAAGCTTAGTTTACATATTATTTTGTTTTCTAAGCCTATATCAATATAATAAGTTTATATCGATGATATGTACCTCTGACTGAATACTTTAACGGCTAAAAAGCTAAAAAAAAACAAAGCAATGAAATATGCGAAAAAAATTACACTAACAATATCAATTGAAGTATTTGGCAAGTTAAAAGAATATAAGTAGTTAGATTATTAGTAACTATAGAAGTTTAATTTTATCGTACAATAAGAGAAAAGGTTATACTGGAGCTTTATAAAATGAGAATTTAGCTCTGAAAAAAAACCTTTTGAAAAAATGGTAAAACCTTTGTTTCAGCGTCGTTCAAGAATGAATAATGATTGGTAATGTGGTTCCTAATTTTCTTAGCGAGCATTATAT